CATAGCCCTTGGGAATTTGAATCTAGGACTCTTACTTTATTCCTTGTCCTCACCCTCTTCACGGATGGGGTGTATCTCTCTTACTTGGAAGGTACATGCATCTCATTATACCATAGTTTTTTCTGTCCTGAAAGATGACTCTTTCTTTGGGATACCCAATCCTAGTGCTCTCTGACGTTAATTTCATGTCTGTTGCATAGGTTATAAGTATAGGCATTTCAAACATATTCTACATATTTGGTGAAAATTTGTCAAATTTATATGTTGTGATAACTCAGAAACCTGTTTTTTAGTATTAATAAAAGCTTATAATTATTTGGCCACTAAAAGTTCTTTCACCCATTAAATCCCCACTTTGTTTATTACAGAGATGAATGAGAGTCTCTGCTTTCAAGGGCCACATTGTCTAGTGATGGAAACAAATGCAGAGACCAATAAAATATGACCAGAATGTCATAAATACTCTTACTAGAGATGAAAACATCTCTAGTTACAGAAAGAAAAGTTGGGATGTGTATATTGGTGAGGACTCCCCCTTAGGCCAGAAAGACATGTGCTTTGAATGATGACAAACGTTGCCAGTCAGAGGCGGTGGGGAAGGATGGTACAGGTAGGGAGGGAACATGAAGGGTGCAGGTGTTCAGAAGACTAGACAGGAGGTGTGGCTGGGAAGGGAGAGACAGGAGGTGTGGCTGGGAAGGTAGGACGGGCTTGGACAGTGAGAGGCTTTACTGCTGCACCAAGTTGGCTTTTGTGACTCCCGTGCCACATATACTGTCCTTTTGTCTGAATGTGTGTATCTGCTCAGGAAGCCGCCAATTTGGGTTTGAATTCTAGCTCTACCACTTAGAATCATCTGACAGTCATTAGCTGGGTATCCTGGGGCCACTTACTTATCCTTTCTAAGCTTTGGTGCACTCACTTGTAAAATGAAATAAATAATACTTATGCATGTGGAGCGTTTAGCACAGTGACTGCATATAGTGAAGACTAAATACATGTTTATTACGTTCAGGGGCATTTTTTTTTATTTTTTATTTTTTTAAAATATATCTTTATTGATTTCAGAGAGAGGGAAGGAGGGGAAGAGAGAGAGGGAAACATCAATGATGAGTCATTGATCGGCTGCCCAGCCCGCAACCTGGGCATGTGCCCTGACCGGGAATCGAACCCCGATCGCCTGGATCCTAGGTCGATGCTCAACCGCTGAGCCACGCCCGGCCGGGCTCAGGGGCATTTTAAACAGACCCATTTCTATGATTTCAGTCTTCGATTATAGTGTTTTCCAAGTTGAATTACCCTTCAGCAGTATTGCTGCCTTTTCTGTTCAGTGGAAAGAGTAAAGATAGGATGCTGTGGGGATCAACTCCTTCCTTTGAGAACTGGTGAATAAAGGAGGAAGAAATTCAAGCATTTATTTTGCCTTTTCTATATGAGCTTATATTACAGGGTAACCACATAGTAAATGAGAAGTTTTTCTTTACAGAGTTCCTCAGCTTATAAATGAAGAAAGAATGATAGAAGTAGAATACAACCAATTTCAGTCCCTAATGAACTAATAATGGATCTACTATAGGTGATTGATAGTTGTTAGCATCCAACAAGAGAGGCAGCCAGGTATTATGTGCCGCCTGATGGGAGAATACTACCTATGAAGTAGTCTTGTCAAAAGGAATTTAAGCTGTGTCTGATTTAGCCTCTAGATCCAATGATTAAATTACGGGCAGTAAGAGGATATAAGTACATATTATTAACATATACCACAGGATGCAGCAAAATGAGGACTGTGGGTCACTCGGCACATAAAGATCTAATTTTGTCAGATAAATTGCAATACAGAGGGAGAGAGAGATGGAGGGGAACCTTATGAAAAGATATTATCAGCTCATCATAGTGGGTAGACTTTAATTGGATATTCAAATAAACTTTTAAAAATTATGGCCTTTATGAGAAAATTGAACAATTGAACACTAGATATTTGATTATATTAAAGAATTGCTAATTTTTTTAGAAGTGATAATTGTTGGGGTTTTTAGTACATAGTAAATGGGGAAAATGAAAAAAAAGTACTATGTTTATTATGTTAAACTTTGATTTTATTTCTTTATTTTTAAACATTTTCTCTAAGAGACATGTGCTTTGTATTTGTTTTTCAGGATGCTGCATGATCTTAACTTTTCGAAAGAAGAGATTCATAGTTTTATAGCATAACGAAGACCTGTCATTGTCTTTTATGCAACTGTTTTATCTAAATTTGTGATTGCCTAGCGTTTTTAAGACATTTTGTATATACCAAAAGGTTAAATAGACTCCTTGCTTCAGTTTCTTAAATGAAATTAAATCTTCCTTCACTATCGATAACCTGTTGACTTTATTTTATACCATAACGTATTTTACTACTGATATTTGACCTGGAAAGTCAATTATGGTAACAAACACATGCAGGTTGTTTGTTATGAATCACACAGTTTCTTACCATTTAAATTGTATCACTGTCCTACAATGAACTCTTGTGTTTTATGAAGTGGTAAAGTAAATGATCATTTGGATCATGTTTCTATGCTGTAAAATGTCTTAGCAATACAGACTAAATTTTACATTGCACTGTTAACTCAGGAAAAAATCATTTATGTTCTTGTTATTAATATTAAAACATGGAATGTTATAACTTATTAAGTGATCTAAACATTTTGTGTGTGTGTATGGCATTGATACAGAGTAGAATAAAAATATACTTACGTACTTTTTAATCTTTGTCTTAGAAATGTGTTTGAATGCACCAATATTGGGTCCGTGTGTAAGGGAAATTTTAAAAGGCAACAATAAAAGATATTGGAAATGCTACACACATGCAGTTTGGGTCAAGTGTGGTAGAGAGCTTAAGAGAACCTTGACAGCTGTTTCTGTTCTCAGCCAAAGCCAGTGGCATTGGGAAATTGAATTAAAGTTTCGGAATGGGTTAAACTTTAATTATTTCTGCGTCCATCCAGATCAGCTGGAAAAGTGAGGAATGCTCTGTCCTGAATGGTACTTTCCCAGCTGGGTCCTTCCCCACAGGTGGCAGTTCAGCAGGGAGCCCCTGACCTCGGGTGTGGGACACCTATTCTCCCTGCCTGCTGCTGTGTGTGGAGCCTTCAAATGCCTTCCCAGGTTGGGATTCAGAAAGGGCATCAAGACAAATCTCTGTGCGCTTTTATGAGGAAACTGTGGAATGTAGAGCTGGCTAATGCATAAGCTAATAGCTTTTTCAGTCTTGTTTAAGATAGCAGCAATGTTTTCATAGAAATAGGGGGGTGGGAAGAGTCTACAATTTCCCTGCAAATAATTCTGTAGTATCTAAATCTTCACTGAATGAATAATGCGCCCGAGAGGAACACAGTATTAACATTCCTCAAATTGCAATAACCAGCTTAAGAAGCTCCCTGTGTACAAGTGGCTGGTTGAACACTGTCATCTTATCCTGTGCTCGCCTCTTCCTTTTCTTTGAGTTTATTGGGGTGACATTGGTCAATAAAATTATATAGGATTCAGGTGTACAATTCTATTATACATCATCTGTATATTGTATTGTGTGTTCACCACCCAAAGTCTGGCCTCCTTCCATCACCGTTTATCCCCCACGCCGCTTTCCTTCTGGCAATCACCTTGCTGTTGCCTGTGCCCGGATTGGCCCGTTCTACCCATGTGGTCAGTCGCCCGGGCAGGGCCTAGCCGTCCAGGCTGCCAGTGCCCCCTGGTGGCTAAGAGGAACACCCTCTAGCTTCACACCTCCATACTGCCTGCGCTTACTCCCCTAAGAGGGATCATGTACTTTCTGGACACTTTCTCATCTTTTCTAACCCCTTTCTTTTTCCTCTCTCCTCCACTCCTTTTCTAATTACCTCAAGCAAACAAAATCTCTGTTACTTTCTATATGTACCTCCATTCCTTTTCTTATTATATTGTAAAGTAAAAGAAAACCCGTAAGCATCTTTGCGGTTATCTCATTCGCTCACATGATTTTATCAACCTGTATGGTAATGATTCCCAAATTGAGAATCAGCTGAGCATCAGCTTCCAATATCCACTTCCCTGCTGGATACCATCTCCATGTCCCTTCCACAAGCCCTCAAACGCTGCATGTCCCAAACTAAACTTCCACCATGATCATCTCTCCCCAAGTCTGTTCCTCCTCTTTAATTCCATCTTTACTTCACTGGCACTACTTTCCACCTCCCCAGCCTTCCCAGACCCATTGGGTACCAGTGTCTCCCTCTCCAACCTGACCTTCTCCGTACCAGCTAACCACGCCCATCTCCCCTCCACTGGGCCAGTGCAGGAGCCTGATCGTTGGCCTTCCTGCTGCAGTCTTGATCTCACTCAAACCCATTTTCCATGCCTTGGAGAGAAAATCCCCTAAATAGAGCCTCCGTCCCCCGCAGAATACAGCCATACACAGTGGGGCACAGATGGGACTATAGATTGTAACTATTGTGCTTGAGCCATGAACTCGAAGACTCCTCATCCTATAATTGCAGTGAGGAAAGAGATGATAGTCAAAGTCACTGTTGCTTAAGAATTCTGCTTGCTGCTTTTTTTTTTTTAAAGTGTTACTGTATTAGTTTTCTATTGTCCCCAGGACAAATCAACAAACTCAGTGGCTTAAAACAACACCCATGTATTATCTCATAGTTACCCGGCTTAGAAGTCTGGGCACGACCGGGCTCAGCTGGGTCCTCTGCCGACCTCACAAGGCTGGAATGGGGTTGTCAGGGGGCTGGGCGTTTCTCTGGGGGCCCTGGGGAGAGTGCCTCCAGGCTCATTCAAGTTGCTGGCAGAATTCGGTGCCTTGCGGCAGCAGGAGCTCCCCATTTCCTCGCTAGCCGTCAGCTGGGGACCAGCCTGCTTGTACTGCAGCCCACATCCCTTCTCACGCAGTCTGCGTGTCCCCTGCAGTGTCAGGTGGGTCCAGGTCCTCTCTGCTTCTCATCTCCCGAGCCTCCCTTCTGCTCTCTTTCTCGCCCCAGCTGGAGAAAGTTTGCTGCTTTTAAGGCCTCACGTGGTGAGATTGGGCCCACCCAGGTCACCTGGGAGAACCTCCTCCTCTGAAACTCTGTAACAACAGCTGTGAAGTCCCTTTTGCCATTTAACGTTTTCAAAGGTTGCAGGCATTAGGGTGTTGACACCGTTGGGGAGCCATTCTGCTTACCACAGTCTCTAAGAACAGAGAGAAACTCGTCCACGGTAAGATAATTGTTTTTTGTAGCTATCGCTATGGGCCCTCACGGTTCACCTTAATTAAATGGGAGTAGCGAGAGGAGTTTTCACACTCCGAAATACAGGCATGCCTCGGAGATACTGGGGGTTTGCTTCTAGACCACTGCGGTAAAGTGAGGAGTAATATTTTCGCTAGAGGAGGGTCTTGCCTTCAACTTGTAAAGAAAAATACAACACCTGTAAAGCACAATAAAGCGCAGAGCAGTAAAACGAGGTGTGCCTGTGCTCAGCTTCATTATGCTGGCAGACACCGGGCTACAGCCTCCTCTGTGGTCCCCCTACTCTGCCCCATGAACTTGACCTAAACTAGTTTGGGGCTGCATCTGTTGATAGCCACAGACCCCCACCTTTGGGCGGATGAACCAGGCTCCGTCTGGTCTATAATATTTAGAATTGGGGCTAAGCTATTAAAAAGGAAAAGTGAAACCTCCATGGGTCCCAGTCTCGGTATCTTTCTGCTTTGGTTTTACTGTGAATTATCTTCACCCAGGGTTGCCAGCGTGGCAGACCTCAGACAATGCCAGAGTGAGCTATCTAAATGCAAAGACTTGTTTTCTTTTCTGGTTCTGTTCTGCTGCCCGATCCCCACTCGTGGAATGGGGGCCCTGCGTAGGGTGCAGCACCCCCCGGGCCCTGCAATGAGGCAGTGGTCCTGGGCCAGGCCGCTGCCCCCAGCCCGCCAGCAACTGCTCGGCTCCTGGAACAGCGTGCCGCGTAGAGAGAGGCTTCCCATTGTCTCCATCCCGAGCACATTCGTGTCCAAATCTTTGGGGGGACATGTGTTTACATTTCTCTTGTATGAATAATCAGAAATGAAACTGCTGGGTTCTATGGTAACTGTATATTTAACTTTATTTTAACCCTATTTTATTCTGCGTAGATTTCTAGGTCAGATGCAGCTAAGTATACTAGTTAGATAATCATGCTTTTTGAATATACTATTTCAAACTTTTAAGGAAATGCCAGAGTTTTGTTTTGTTGACAAACTATCATGCCATTTTACATTCCTGCCAGCATGAGAGTTTCAGTTATTCCACGTTCTCACTAACTGAATTATTAATCTTACATTTTAGTGTTAGTACCTGATTGGGGTTTTAATTCGCATTTGTGATGTCCAGTGATGTTGAACATATTATCATGCTTACTGGCCATGGATTGTCTTTTGTAGGGTGTCTGTTTACCTTTTACTATTTTTAGGTTGAATTGTTTTTCTTGTTACTGAGTTGTAAGCGTCCTTTACATATTCCATGTGCAAGTCCTTTATCAGATATGTTTTGTGAGCACTTTCTGTTGTGACAGTAAATCCTATTTGTGCTTTCACAGCTGTTTGTGTGCAGGGCATGAACAAGCTTAGAGACATGCACCGATTTAGTTTTGAACAAAATAAAAGTGTAAAGTAAATAATAGTACATGAAGTAACTGTAAAGTTGACATGTGAATGACTGAAGTCCTAGGGAGAGAACTCTGGTGGCAGAGTGGAGGGGACTTTCCCGAGGGGACAGGCCTGGGAGGCAGGCGGCTAATGGCAGCAGGACAATGATGTGACACCTTCAACTCTGCTTCACTGGGAAACACAGTAGATGATGGAGGTCACAGCTCAGCCATGAAGGCAATGGGACAGACCATTTCCATGTTGTAGTACACACTGTCTGTTGCTCTGCAGCAACCGGAGACTTGGAGGTAGACCTGAAAGTGCGCTGGTAACTGTCTTTCTCGAATTCAAAGAGCTTATGTTCTGACTTAGGATTTTCTAATTAACTGTCTCAGCCCCTGGTGATTAGAATAGCGAGGGGCAGGTGTTTATTGTAGTATTTGCCCAGGCAGCCTGCGAAGACCTCATTAGGATTCTATTTCCTCTCATTTAGACTGTGCTGGGAAAAGCCATTATTCGTGCTCTGCGATTGCTCCTTGAGCATGTCTGAGGAAAAAGGCCGCTGACATTTTCAGGAAAATACATTCAGGTGTTTGTTATGCTGCGGATTTCTCACTTTCTGAGCAAGTTAATGTTTTACTTATGTAAGAATTGTCACAAGGTAATTCTCAGACTAGCCGCATTCTTGTGCTGTTTAGGAAAAAAAATCACAGAAATCATTATGCAGCATGTAGATTTTCATTGTTACCATTCAGATATTAAGTGTGGTGTTTGTTAATATAGATACTTATATTTTTAAATCTTGAATTTGTTATTGTAAACCTTCGGCGAGGTGGGAATTTTGCACAACCAACTATTAGAAGCAGAGACACTCTCTCACCCAGTTAGGATGCGGAAAGGAAACCGAGGGCCCAAAGGTGGGATTCCCTGTGCTCAGCAGGGTTTCAGGAGCACAACACAGTCTAAAGTTAGGAGGGAAGATACCGCCTCCTCACTCAGCAGCACAGCCCTGGAGCTCTGCCCCTTGTGCTGGGTGACTCTGGGAAACTCCTGGTTTCTTGGAGCCCCACCGAACTGGCGTGGACTGCAGAGGACGGCCTTCACCTTGGTCCTGCACAAGGTGTTCTGTGAGATGGAGAAAACATTCTTGTGGTGGTGTTTTCAGCCCTAAAGTTTCTCCTTTTTGTTCTCTTGGCCATGAAAGCTTATATATATTATATAAATGTTACATATGTAATCTAATACTTATATAGTGCTTTTCAATTGGCAAAGCAACTTCCAACAACACTGCAGTGGTTACTGGTAAATGTTTAGCAACCAGTTTTCACGATGGCAAATGTCAGTATGAGGTGATTGGATGTGGAGTCGGGAAGAGACGACACCATTGGCTCCGCCCATTTGGTGACAGTCTCAGAGAGGGTATGGACCAGCCACTGTGTGTGTTTCCATTTAACTCCCCCAGACAAACACAATGATGAAGGCTCAAAGAAGCTAAGTAAGGTAAAGTGGTGGGGCCAGCACTGGAATTCAGTTTGTCTGATGCCTGGGCCCAAGGTCACACAGCTGGAAGGAGTGCCACAGGGCCCCAGAACCCAGTGTTCTGATAGGGAGGCCCCCCTTCTCCCAAGGGAGCCCTCTGCATTTTGTTTTCCAGTCTGTGAAATTAGAAAGATCCCATTATGGAGAGTCTGGAAGCAGTCTTGTTTTATCTATACTTGTTTTAAAAAATTACTCAGAAGGGAGACAGAAAAATAATGGCTGCTCCAGGAGGGACAGAAGAGGGTGTGGAGAAGTCTCTGTTTCCTGCTCTGCCCCTGATGAGCTGGGTGGCTTTGGGAAATGGACTTACTCTGTTGGTGCTGTGGTTTCCTTCTATGTACAGTGGGATGATGGGCACCTGGCCCAGAAGAGTTGCTTAATAAATGTTAGCCACTAATTCTATCTCAAAATGTTCTAGCTTTTTATGTATTTGATGAAACAAAGAAGCTGAACTTTTCAGGGAAAGCTTACAAGTTCTTTGTAAGTTCAGAAACATAGGGAATAATTTTTATTGGACAATCTATGAACCATTGCTCTCTCATACCAGCTGTGTGTTACAGGTTCTTATAAACACATTTCAGAGTTGTGATAAACATTAGGATAATATTTTTAGTTGAGTAATAAAGTAATTTGATGTCAGGGCTTTGTTATCCTTTTATTTATTAAGTATGTTGTTATTGATTTTAGAGAGGAAGGGAGAGGGAGATAGAAACATGGCTGAGAGAGAAACATCAATATCGATCGGCTGCCTCCTGCAGTTCCCCCACTGGGGATCGAGCCCCAAACCGGGACATATGCCCTGACCGGGAATTGAACTGGTGGCCTCTTGGTGCATGGGTTGATGCTCAACCACTGAGCCACACTGGTCGGGCTGTTATCCTTTTAATAAAAATCAAACATATCAGACACACAAAAAGGCAGAGAGAAAATGTAATGAGCAGGCCAATATTGCTTACCTAGCTTGAGAAACAAGCCTTTAAATGTTGCCGAATGCTCCTGGGACCTTTCCGGGATCCCATTTTCCTCTCTACCAATCCCAGGGTCACTGAATTTTGTGTTTATCATTCCTGTACTTGTCTTTATACTTTATTTATATGCACAGTCCTAAACAATATCCCCGTGCAAAATATGGAATTGTCTTTTATGTTTTTAAACTTTATCTGGATGATATTATATTTGGCCATCTGCTCTTTGCTTTGTTTTAATGGCGTGGTGTGGGGGATAAATCCGTGTTGATACATGTATTACTACTAGTTCATTCATTTTAACTGTGATAGAGTATTTTATTATTGTATGAACATATAATTTAAAAAAGTGTTATATTGATGGACATTTAAATTCTCAATTTTTTACCATCCCTAAATAGTTAATATTCTTGTACATGTCATCTTGTGCATATACGTGAGAATTTTCTCTGGAATTTATACCTAGGAGTAGAATTTCTAGGTTACAGATGTGTACACCTTCAATCTTACTAGAGATAAGCCCCCATCCCCCAGAAACACCTATTTTCAATATTGGTGTGTCAATTTATCTGCTTACTACCAATGTATTAGAAGTCTCATCTATTCATATCCTGAAACTGCTTTTTATTTTTTTTTCTTTAGAAATATTCCAGATCTAATGGATATGAAGCGGTGTCACTGTAACTTTACCTTTCATGCCCCTGGTGTGTTGGGCATGTTCCTGTTTGCTCTCGGATCTTTCCCCTCTTCTATCCTGAAGGGGATGCATCTCCGAAAGGACAGTTCCCAGGTCCCTTGTCTACCAGCGTCCATTTACGTTGGGCTAGTGTGACTAGGAGAGAAGCCAGGCCTTTCTTTCCAGCCACTCTGTTTCTGGAGGAGCCTCTGTCAGTGCTTCATCTCCTCCGCGGTCCCGGCTCCCACTGTCCAGCCCCTGTGGTGGCTGCAACTCTCCCGCGTGGCGCCCCCTCCATCCAGTGCCCGCGGGTGGCCCCAGACCCTGGCTTCAGAAAACACCGTCTCTTTCCTTTCCAGCCCAGAGATTCCTGCAGTTATGTCTCTCGGTTGTCTTACCTTTGGGGTTTCCATAG